AATAAGTCCGAAACCGGTCTGTGCCTGGTGGGTTAAACTGACGAGCGATCCTAGCTGTTACATTCAGTGTTGCCAATGTAATTCAATACCGGGGGGGCATATAGCCCGCGGTGTAGTTGTTTCTTGCAACATTGGTTAGAATTGGACATTTAAACTAATGGTGAAAACCGGATCTCGTTGTCATATTTAGCTTCGTAGATGATTGATACGAACTAAATCCAATATTTGTGTGTCAAGTACATCGTTTTATCGTGAAATTAAAGTGTGTAAGATAAAAAAATAATTAATTAAAGAACACCCAAAATAAATGATTTCAATATGTGGAGAAATTGATTTGATGCAATTCTTAATTGGGGCATATTTATGTATTATTGATATTATCTTAAGTGAAACACCATGTATATTCATTAGCTATAAATAACGAGTTATGTAAAGATTTAATAAATTTAATTTAATAAGGAACATTACCGGTTATTATAGGTTTCCCATCACAAGGCGGATTGAAGCATTCTACAGTTTCTCTCACTTTCTGATTATTGCAGGGATCATCTTCGTCGAATTCATCTTCGTTTTTCTTAAAAAATGGCCAATAGATAGCCTTTTTGCCTGTAAATTCCAACGACAAACGGTACCTTTCCTTGAATCCTTTACCGCAAGTCGATGAGCAAGGCGACCATTCACTCCAAGGCTTTTGCGGGCAATTTTCGTTCAACTACAGACAAATGAAAAACTGCAATATTAACCTAATAACAATTTGGATGTGCATTTCCGTAAAAATGTTTTATCTGCATTTTTACCATTCAGTTTGCTTATTAACGAATTTATGTACGCACATACTTTATACCTATTATTAAGTAACAATTTTATTTATGGTTAAAAATAACCGTATTTCCGATGGTGTCCGAAAATTCGAAAAGTATGCATGCAGAACAAAACAAAAATGAAATTGTTGAATTGTTTATTCTATATTATCATTTAAATAAAGTTAACTTTTAAAACTCGCAGGTATTTAAGGCACACAGTTCATGCTAACCTGATCTTATATTTTAATTTATTTTGTCACACTTGTGAATAAAACTAAGGGTCTTTTCATATTAAGTAATCAAATCACCGTTCGGTTATCTTGGATCTTGATGAAATTTGGTGTTAGCTGAATAAAGATTCAAGTGATGTTGTGCAAAATCTAAATTTCACTACTATTAGTATAGTTGCGTCCTGAAGCATCCAGCGTAAAGCTATCTCTGCATCACTGACGAGTATCCGTACAAACTGACAAGTTTGAAGTGCTACTGTTATGGAACCACAGCAGCTAGCATGCTGAAAAATGGAACCAAGGACAACTTTTTGTGCCCTGCATGATGGTTGCAATAAAAATTTTTAGTTTTATTGCTGTTATCTTCCAAATTTGCTCAAATAATCCGTCATGTTAATTTTGGGGGAAACACGACCTTCTACAAATTTATGTTTGTTGTCAAGATATGTGCTACTGAATATGAAATTTTTAAACCCAAGTGGAACAATTCATTTTCCTTCAATCAAATTCGTTTTATTACAATTAATTGGAAAGAGCAGACATTTTTAAAGTCGCCTTGTTTTATTTTAGAGTTAAGGTCAGAATAATTTGAAAATTGCACTTTGATTACGTGTCGTAATATAATCGATAGTACAAACATAATATACAGGACGATGATTGTCAGTCACACTGGATTTATCATACTTCCTGGGGGTCAATTTGTTATGGCTTTTTAAGTTTAACTTGCATTTGCTTTGCTACATAAAGTCTGTTTACATACTCCAATTTGATTTAGGCACTCTTAATATAACCTATTATTTTTCAGTTTTTGCGCTAATGGAATAGACTATTGAAATTTATGATATTGAAATTTGCGATAAGGAAGCCTTTTACCATGGAAACAGAAGAGAACCTAACCTAATGTCTGTTTATCAATGTAAGTTTTATATTCAAACTGTATAGCAAATTGAAAGTTGTGGAGATATTTAGTGCCTCTCATTGATGAAGCAATTTACAAACGTATTCTATTTATTTTTATGAGATATATCTATTGTGATTTGTTACACTCTGTATGAAGTATAATTAAGTACCTACTCCAATTTAAAAAATCAATGATTAATTATTATTTCCGTTCAGCCTTCATTTCCTTGCTGTTCATCGGTCATTAGGCTGTCAATATCTGAACATGCCAATTCCAGCGTTATTCCTAAACTGATTTGCCTTCAGCAAGCTGTAAAAACGAGATGTCCGTATTTGATTATTAACTTCCCAGCTGCTTAATCGATGTTTTATGTAGTGCGCTTATTTGGGTTACCATTTGGTCCGACTCAGCGGCCAGTATTATAATTTAAATCCTTGGCCAGCACACACTAAATTTGTACCAGATCTGAAAGCTTATTATAAATTTCATTTGCGGTTTGTGGTTTATTAATTTAGCTGCTGCCACTGTTGTGAGCATAGTGGCAACGGGCCAAGTAAATGTACTTAATTTCGTAGTTGACATCTATAAAATGGTTTCGTTAACATGGAATTACTTAACGTGTGTAATGGTAACTATTCCTTGGTACTAATTTTTCACTTACGGCTTTATGAACCCTCAAGATGGGACATGATATACATAACTACTCAAGAACTATTACAGACTTCAGATTTACTACAATGTATTTTTTTCTTAATAACTATGGAAAAGTTACTGCCAGTTTCTATTGTAGGTACGAATTCGGATATTATATTTAATCGAAACGATAAAAATGTCGAATGGTGTACCGGTGCATCGTTTTAAATCTGCTTATTCAGCAGACAGATCCTCAATTCGATTGAAGTTAACTACCGTTCCAAATAAATTATCGTGCCATATGGTGCCATATGAATGTGAGGTCGTATGAATATTGCGCTTGATTCATTTATAGTGAGTACAGCTTCATTCTTTAAATCTATTTAAACTTTTCAGGTCGGAAAAGTTTTTTTGTTCACCGCCATATGTAGTATTCTGATGTCTAACTGGAATAAATACTAAATAGCAAATTGTTGATGTTGATGTAGAAATATATATTTTGGGACAAGGTAACATTTTAAACTTCTTCATATTTTAAGGATTTTATTAATTAAAAAACCGTAGTTACTATCTTCGGAATAGGAAATAAAAATTTATTCAAAAGTTATTTTTGAAAAATGGCGTTGAAATGAATAGAGACCAGATGATATAAACTTGCGTGCATAGAAATCGACCCACTGCAAACGTTTGACTCAGATTAAAAAAAATATATATATGTGGTTTGAAGGACAATTTAATATGTTTTAATATGAGTACATTACATATGAGTACAATTTATTACTATTTATATTCGTTAAAAAAATTAACTTTTTTATTATTAAAGGAAATGTAGTTATTGACAATTATCTAAAATAACACTTAATTTTTAATAATGGGTAATGCCCTAATAACATCTCTCTTACTTTTAGGTATAGATCTTATCAAGTTCTGCTTGTAAACAATCAAAATCTTCGCTCAACAAGTCCAATTCAATCAAGGTTAAAACTTCATTGATAGGTACACTTGTAGAACAATTAAAAAACTTATTGCATATGTGCCTTCATCAAAATTTTTTCGTTTTTGATAATATTATTCAGTTTACATAACCAGATGGTTTAGCAAAGGGTAATCCCCTTTCTCCGATTTTAGCGGATATTTTTTGCATGATTTGGAGTCTAAAAAATTTTTAAATAATAGGTAATATTTTTTCACAGTATACCTATTAAATTTTGTATTAATATGTAGATGATATTTCAATAATTTGGAATGGAGATTTATACTTGTTGAATGAATTTTTAACGTTTGTTAATTCGCTTCATGATAAAATAAAATTAACCCTTGGAATACAAAATTTAGAACATAAAATTAATTTCCTAGATTAAATATTGACATTAATAGTAATATAAAGTTTCCGGTGTATAGAAAGCCGACAGACACTCACTTCATCCTATACAGCACAAAATGGCTGCCTTTCATAGTTATTTAAATAGATTAAAATTCCTTTAAATGAAAATAATTTTAACAAGAAGAAATATCACATATCAAATAGCAGAAATGAATGGCTATTCTAAAAAATTAATAAATAGTCTACTAAATAAAAAACAACAGTATGGGAATGAGTTTATATTTACAAAATAATCAACAAACTATTTAAGTAATTGAAAATAATTTAGTGGAACAATATCGCTCTTTATCATATATAAGTGGCATATCTAAGAGAATAATATTTTAAAAAATTATATTAATATATTTTTTAAAACAACAAACTCTATTGGTAGTTTCATTTTAAATAACACAGACAAAATAGAAAATAAAAATAAAACAAACATTTTAATAGAATACTCATATCTATCAAATTTTACTGTTCCCCCCTTCTTTTGACGCCCTTAACAAACTTTTCTAAAAATTTTTCATGTTGTTTACTACAATGTTATAATATGATGATATATCAAAATTCATAATGGTACATGTACCTACCCATTTTAACTATTCAAGAAAATTTTAAATGTATGAAATGTAATGTAATGAAATGTTTAGATCCGTTTTTCTCGTAGATGGAGCATTTTGTAGAAAGAAATAAAGAGTACCTTTGTTGTAGAGGAAATGAGGGTCTATCATCTGTTGGCATTTTTTCAGGCCCCATTTAGGGGGGCGTAGTTCCCTTAGGAAGCATTTCTCGACCCATGTTTATAAGAAAAAATATTCTTATTTTTGGCAATAGAATCAAGTGGTAAATTATTATTGGACACTAATTATGAGACACCTTGTACAGGGTGATTAACAATGGGAAAGTCGAAAGCTGAAGATACTACACGTGAAATGGTGACCATTGGCGCAAACATGCCTTATCCGAAAGTTAATAGTTTTGGAAACACAGGGTGTTGAAAGTTAAAATTTTAAATCGTTTTTTTGCGATTATTCTGAAAATATGTAGGTTAGGAACTTGAAAATGTGTGAAACTATGTTTTTTTAGGCGACGAATAAGATGCGTGTTGTAATTTCAGCATTGCTCATAGAGGGCGCCACTTACGACCAATTTTACCGAAAATTTAGTTAATAACTTTTTACCCTGTATATTTAACATGAAACTTGATTCAAAACCTGAAAGAGCTATCATTTTTCCATTAATTATGTACTCTTGTTTCATTTCGGTATCTCGATCCGTTTTCGAGAAAAATCGATTTAACGAACACTATGTTTTGATAATATGAGAAATTAAAAGCGAAACAAACCAAGTGTTTCTTCGTGTTATTACAACAATTAACAATAAAACAAATAAAATACGTAATTATGATTTAAAGTAATTGTTCGAAGAATCCACCGTTGACACTGATACACTTTACACGTTTTCTGAGAGATCTTCGAGTTTGAAACAACATATTGGGATTGCGTCTGACTTCGTTGGCAGCGATTTGTATTCTTTGCCACAACTCTTCACACGAGCCAATAGATTCTTTGTAAACTATATCTTTCATTCGAGACCAAATAGAAAAATCAAGAGGATTGAAGTCCGGACTTCTGGATGGCCAAGCAAAAATGCTTACATGGCCAATCCAGCGATTTGGAAAAACTGCATCTAAATATGCACGCACTGGCCAAGAAAAATGCGGTGGAGCTCCGTCGTGCATGAACCACATGTCTCTTCTTAAATAAAGTGGAACTTCTTCAAGCCGTGGAAGCATTTTTACTTGGCCACCCAGAAGTCCGGACTTCAATCCTCTTCATTTTTCTATTTGGAAGAATCTATTGGTTCGTGTGAAGAGTTGTGGCAAAGAATACAAATCGCTGCCAACGAAGTCAAACGCAATCCCAATATGTTGTTTCAAACTCGAAGATCTCTCAGAAAACGTTGTGTAAAGTGTGTAAATGTCAACGGTGGATTCTTCGAACACTGACTTTAAATCATTATTACGAATTTCATTTGTTTTATTGTTAATTGTTGTAATAACACGAAGAAACACTTGGTTTGTTTCGCTTTTAATTTCTCGTATTATCAAAACATAGTGTTCGTTAAATCGATTTTTCTCGAAAACGGATCGAGATACCGAAATGAAACAAGAGTACGTAATTAATGGAAAAATGATTGCTCTTTCAGGTTTTGAATCAAGTTTCATGTTAGATATACAGGGTAAAAAGTTATTAACTAAATTTTCGGTAGAATTGGTCGTAAGTGGCGCCCTCTATGAGCAATGCTGAAATTACAACACGCATCTTATTCGTCGCCTAAAAAAATATAGTTTCACAAATCAAGTTCCTAACCTACATATTTTCAGAATAATCGCAAAAAAAAACGATTTAAAATTTTAACTTTCAACACCTTCTATTTCCGAAACTATTAACTTTCGGATAAGGCATGTTTGCGCCAATGATCACCATTTCACTTGTAGTATCTTCAGCTTTCGACTTTCCCATTGTTAATGAATCACCCTGTATATTGGTAGAACTTTTAGAAGTTTAGTATTAGGTTAAAAGAACATGAGACCTGATTCGTCAGGTTTTTCTCAGTTTGCTTACCATTTGCTTGAATTTAATCACAATTTTTCTCCAAGTATAGGTTTTAAAATATTACATATTACTGATAATAGGGGAATGTTTTTAAACAATTTAGAAACTTTTGAAATACAAAAATCTATAAAAAATTTTTCTCACACTATTAATACTATAGTAGGTTCGGATTTTTCTCCAGTATTCACTGTTTTAATATACTTCAATATAAATTTGTCAATAAATGGAAGATTTGGTTTGTTGGTGTGTATTGTAACGTTGTAGAATTCTTTGTTTATTGTTTGAAGTTTTTTAATGAAATTAATAAGGATTTTTGAATTTATATCTACACGTTTGGCTAAGTTATTATATATCTTGATGTTTAAAGTTCCTTTGAAGATTAGAAATTGTTCCAAAATTATTACCTTGTAATTGTGATATCTAAGTATACACATACCTTTGTTTAACTAATATGTTTTAATTAAATATTTTCTTAATTAATAATCGAAATTAAAAATTTGTATTAAATAATCAATCTTACTTTGAAAATACTCTAATGTATATTATTTAATGTTTGCTTGATTTTTCTGGTTTCTTTTAAACTGCAAAAATGTTAAAAAAAATTTTAGACAGCTTGAGTTATTATATAAAAATAATTTTTTAGCCTTGTATGACCTAATGATGAGGTGTAAATTTGGACCTCGAAACTAGTCGTCGTATGTAATTATTAATTTTACAATAAAGGATTGTAAGAGTTGAAAACTTCTTTTTATTTTCTCAATGGTAATATGAACTCACACTTATCTATTTCACGTTTAAATATTTATTCAATCATTATTTAAACTTCTTTCTTCAAATATAAAATTATATAACAAGCATTCTGAATCTCATGTACATATATTTAATTGTTTTTCACTTTTGACTAAAATATCATTTCATTGAAATAATTGAAGGGAGGATTTTCAAATTTGATTTAAATGTGGAAATTTATGAGAGGTTTTGATCCTTTTTATGAAGATTTTGGTATTCTTTTTTTTGTTCAATTTAACTTAAGGTGTTGAGATTATAATTTTTATTTCATTCTTATTTTTTTTATCTATGTAGGTAATAGAGAAATATAGAGATTGTTAATGGGAATAAAATATAAACAAACCGTTCGGTACTACATGTTATGTAGATATAATGTCTGGAAGAATATAGTAACTGTACTATTGTACTATTATTTTTTGATAATTATTGCAAACTATAAAGTATTTCACTAATTCGTGAATTTTTGGCATGAATCGACACTTTTCAACTTAAATTTTACAATACTCATTCAAAAGTAAAGCTACAAGAAAATTAAAACCGCCCTTGAATAAATTTTTTGTAATTTAACTGGTTTTTATATTTCCTACCCTTTCCAAGGTCCCCATGGTAAGCATCCTTAATGGATATTCAATATGGTTGTACTTATAATATAGGCAACATGACTTACCTCCTCCTCAAAGTCATCACATTTGTCCTGACCCCAGCATTCCAAATTTTGTTGAAGGATAGGAGGATTCACTTTTCCTGCTGCACAACTCTTAGCGGCAAATCTGTTCTTATATCTCCTGTCTCTGGTCTGGATGCCTTTGCCACATGTAACGCTACAGCTGGACCATTCAGACCAAGGACCCAGTTCACAAAGCGGATCTTCCACTTCTCTTCTCGGTTGATGAGGGCAATACTTTTGAACAGCTTCGCAACTCGCCCTCTCTGTTAGTTTTTTATGGCAAGTATACTTGCTTTCCTCATTTTTATATCTTCTTTGTTTGTATTTGACACCTCTACCGCAAGTTGCTGAACAAGGGGACCATTCGGACCATTCCTCTGTTTCACAGTTAGAGTTATTGTCATCCATTTCTTCCAGAATTGAAGGGTCGCAGGTTTTCTCGTAGAGCCTCTGTCTAGAAAGAGTAAGGCGCGCTAAAGGTTTCATGGGTACGCCGGTAGGGTCGAAGAATGGTGATCTGGGGTCGTTAGGCACATTAGTCCTGATTCTCCTAATGGGTTGTCGTGGAGAAGAGGGTTGATCTACTGACTGAAAAGTTCAAATCAACAAATCGCATGAAATAATGTAATATTATTTATCAAGCATATCGGGTATCCCAAAATTCACGTAAAATATGAATTATGCGCCATTTGTGTGGTAAAGTATGGTCAATCAAAAAAAAGAGCGTGACAGCTGACAGTTCAGGGTTATTAAAAATGGAGCGCTACACGAAAGAACAACGCGTTTTTATTGCTGAGCAAAAAAATAATGAAAGATTGGCAGCTACATTTCGCAATTTTTGTACAAAATACGGTCGGAATAGTGATTTAGCTTCATCACCTGTGAAGAGATTAATTGAAAAATTCAGGGAGACTGGATCAATTTTTGGATTGGATTTGGATTTTAAACACTCTAGTCGTCCTTCAATAAGACGTTCAACACAAAACATCAAACCAGTTCGTGAGAGTGTCGCTGAGAGTCCAGGAATATCAATTCGGTACCATGGTCAAGAATTGGATATTTCGAGAAGTTCTGTACAACGTATTCTCGCGAAAGATTTGCATCTTCATGCTTACAAAGTTCAATTCACTCAAGAACTGAAGCCTACTGATCACGTACAGCGAAGTGGGTTCGCTGAATGGATTTTCATCTTGATGGCTTCGTTATTCGCCAAAATTGTCGCATTTGGGATTCTGAAAATCCACGAGTGATTATTAAGAAAATAATGCATCCACAACCTGTCACTGCTTGGAGCGGATTTTCGGCTAGAGGCAACATCGGATCATTCTTTCTTCATTTACAATTTTTAATTAAAAACCTATGTCTTCGATCAAAATTACTTCTTGCGTGAATGTTGGGCCACCCTCTAGATACATAATTTAATCAACATGATTAAACAGAGCGTATCAAATATACAGGCTGTCTACCACAAGAGGGCCACTCATATGTATCTCGCACGTCAAAATTCTTTATATATTTTTTGTTGCATTTTTTGAGCCCTTCGTTCTTGTAAAAGCAAATTTGAGATCCATGGCCGACTTATGAGGAATGATAAAAAAACGGAAAAGTAGCAAAAGTTTAGGGCCGTCTAACTTTTTATTTTAAGAGATACAGAAAACTTATTTTTATAAAATTTCATGGCAAAATTGATATCTTTCACCTACTGCAAACAAATTTTTGAATTATCGTATGCAATTTGCTGCGCCCTCTACGCGAACAAAAAAAAATGTCATTGAAGCATGCTGTGGACACAAAAAAATGCTTGTTTTTTCCTCTTTCATTTGATGTACTATATGTCGCCTTTATCTTTTATATTTATTACATTTTTATAATTTTACCATCATAGAAGTAAGGTCCTATGATTTTGGTATCAAGAATTCTAACCCAAACGTTTACTGAAAACCTCTGTTGAAATGCAGTTTCTCCATGCCAATGTAAGTTACCATTCCATTGGAAGTAATTGTTTCTATTAAAAAATCCATTGTTACAAAAATTAGACAGAAAATTCTTATACTGCATATAGGTACCTAACATGAACTTCCCTCTTTCTTTCTTAGTAGGTTATTATAGCCGGTGCTGAGACTCCCCCCTCCACTTTCGACCTTGGGATGACCTTGAGTAAACTTGAGATGACCTTGGATGACGTCATCCGTGACCTGCATGACATTGATAGAGGTCACGGTGACCTTCATTTGACCTCTGCATATGGGAGGAGGCATTCGACATTGAATGACTTTGAAGTGACGTCATAACAGTTGGTNTTTCGTAATATCCTTCTCTACATTGTAGTTTACTTCAGTCTCACTGTTTTGCTCATTTTTCCTATTTATATAATTTAAAATTCTGTTAACATTACCTACTTTATTAACAACAGCTGATTTTATTGGCCTGTCCTGATCCATATCAGCGAAGGATTTCTGTATTCCGCAAGTTCTTGAATAGAATTGAAATTGCATTGATAGTGCAATATAAACATATTACACTTATCAATTTGTTAAAATATCATTATTATTCAAAATTAGGTATAGTTTTTCAAATCGCAGTGAACTGTAAAAATTTTCAAACCAACCGTTATGTATAAACTATAACAATAAACAATTTGTTAAATGATGACATTACTGGAAAAACACGTTTCTTTTCGTAGCGTGCTACATTTAACGTAAGCTACTTTGTCTGGGCAAGAAGGCTCAGTTTTCTCTAAAGTAAAAAACCAATATTATAAAAATGTGAAAAGAGAATCTGTATTTTGCTTAAAAGAAGTACATTATATTTATTCAATTTGTTGTAGTTGACGTGTCTATAACAATTTCTACGTTAACACGAAAATGTTTACATTTTTGATACCAAAATTGTAAAAAATCTAATAAATATAAAAGATAAAGGTAACATGTAGCATATCGTATGAAAGAGGAAAAATAAGCAATTTTTTATAGCCATAGCCTACTTCGATGACAATTTTTTTGTGCCCGCGCAGAGGTCGCAGCAAATTACATACGATAATTTAAAAATCTGTTTACACTAGGTGAAAGATATCAATTTTGTTATGAAATTTTATTAAAATAAGTTTTCTCTATCTCTTAAAATAAAAAAGTTAGATGACCCTAAACTTTAGGTACTTTTCAGGTTTTTTTTATGATTACCTACTTATAAAGTTGGCCATGGATCTCCAATTTGTTTTTACGAGCATAACGGCCTCAAAAAATGCAACAAAAAACATATAAAGACTTTTAACGTGAGTCCTAGATTCATAGGAGTGGCCCTCTTATAGTAGACAGCCTGTATATGACAAATAGAAATTTAATTAGAAAAAAAGTAAACGGCACTTAAATATGCATAAACAACCTATATACTAACGTGAAGATTTATGTTTACCTAAAGATACAATGGGATACAACTACTCTGCGAGTGTAACCCAGTCCTGCGTTAAATTACATTCCCTTATCTAGTAAGTAGCTAAAACTATTTGTCAATAGAACTATTCATCAGGCATCTACCGGAACTTATTAGTTCCCATCAAATCATAGGTGCTGACGAACGATCTTTCCATATGGATGTTTATCTATCGACATGTTTTAAGCGTGGGTGAGATATAACTTCATAAAGTCATCTTAATTGTCTATGCTGTGCTTTGTACTTATTACCAGGATCTTTTGAAAACATGACAGTTTACTCACCCACACATACCTACTCAAATCATGAACACATAGATATCCAAATAGTCAGATCGTTCACCAGTAGTATCAGCTATGGTACACTGATGAGAACTAATAAGTTCGAAACTGGTCTGTGTCTAGTGCTTCCTATGACGACTAGTTTCATATGTTTACTACATTTTGTGGGTTTAATTTAATGCTGAACGGAGCTATACACCGCAGAGTAGTTGTTTTCTACAATATCTTTAGTTATAAAGTTTATTTCACCAAGTGCTTTCATAACATCTACAAATTAGTAGGAAGTTCTCTGCCAATAGGAATAAAGCAATTCATTGTGCCAGCATCAGTGACAATTAAGACAGTTACAGAGGATGTATTAAAATGTTAAATTTTATTTCGTTACAGCTGTCAACAAAATGTTCTTGTACATTTTGCCAAACGCATGTTAAATCTTACATAGAATTTAATAGTGCTGAAATAAAATTCATATTTTGTTTGTCAAGGAGTAGTTTAGGTTAGAGTGAAGGGTGTCTCTAGGTTATATAAGCGAAATTTCGAAAAGACGACAAATTTCTGTAACATTTGCGCCCCCTAGTGGTGAAGTTACAAACTTGAAAACATTTTAAATCGATTTCTTTTGGCCGTATTTGTTAATAGATTTTTTACTCCTTAATCGTATCACGTCTAGTTTCCTTTGTACAGCTGCACCACATCGTTAATGGATCACCCTGTATATAACATAATTTTTTTATAAATATAAAGAGATTCCACAATTCACATGTAATGGTAATAGTAGTGGTGTAATACATTCGCTCTAGTTTGTGACAAAAAGGAAACTAAGCCTAATTTTCAGTATAATCTGAACGGAGTTGGTCATATCGAGGCACCGATCTTGCGTGTTGTTGGTATTCGAATAATAATCGTTGCAAAAACAAACCATAAATTTCGAACTTCGATGCATGTTTGTAATTTGAGTTCATTATTATTACTGGAAACTATAAACGATTCAGTAAAACGAAGTAAAAGTAAACAGCAAGAGAACTCGTCGTGTTGTTATAAAGTTTGTTTCCTAACAGTTTATTTCAGTTTTACATTTTGTCATACGTACAATTTAATTCAGTTATTTTACTATCCATCAGTTCACCTCGTCAGTGAGCTTTCAGTGAGAGGATTAAAACAAGAACAGTACATAGTCAAAGTAAGCATGAAAAGTAATATTAGTTTTGGAGCTATAACGTGTTTATAACTGATTGATTATAATGAATATGAATGAATAGTAATTGACTTTGAGAAGTAGAAACAATATATTTGTAAAATAAAATGTATACCAAATAATTTACTGCAATTGGGAATTCTTTCATAGGAATAACTTATCTTGGGTTTACTGAAACAAATTAGTGATAGATGATAACTTCATATCTGAATATATAGAACATAACTTTTTAGATTTTTTTTGTGTTTATTCATTCAGCTGCAGTACTGAACAAACCCTTTGGTATTTTATAATTTAAGACTTATTTAGAGAACTATTTTATTAATCACTATTGGATGAGCTAGATATACTGTGTGTAATAGCCAAATGGAATAAATTCAGTATTTTAATAATTATTGTAAGTACATGTTTGTAAAAATCCCGAAATACGTCGATTGTGGATTCTGAAATAATATCCTGCAACGTAAAAATTTCATCCCTAAATTCCACCTCCCTCGAGTGGCAGGTGCAACTCCTAGTTTTTTTAATGTAAAGTAAGGGCTTGTTATACCTCATTTGAAAGGTCTCGGCATTCTATATTCAAAATTCTATGATTTTCATATTTATTGCAAATTAGCAGTAAAAAAGTAAAGGTATCTGCTTGACGGAATTCGCTACAGCAAATAAAGAAAATGAGTTCCTTGAACGTCTTGACAGCATCCTGCAACATCATTCGTTCATTTGAAAGGTCTTTTCATTTTCTATTTAAAAATGCTATATTTTTCATATTTATTGTAAAAGTAGCAGTAAAAAAAATAATTTTATACGCTTGACGCAATGCGCTACAGCGAACTAAAAAAACTTATTTTCAACGTAAATGTTCAAATTGAGTTTCTTGGACGTCTTGGCAGCATCATAATCGTAAATGTCTTCTAACTTTTTCCAACATCTGAGGCGTGACCGACCTAATTGCAACCTTATTTTTCTTCTGAAACCAACTATACCGCGTGACTTAGTTCTGTGTACCATACTTTTCACACATCCTCATAGAACTAAATTTAAGGGTGTAATATCAGGAGAACGTTTGGCCATTCTAGTCAACCTCCCTCCCTATCCACCGATTTGGAAATGTTAAGCCGAGATATTGATTCGGTAATGTGGTGGTGCTCTGTCCTGCTGGAACCATATCACATCGGCTGGAACTTGTGGGTTTGCTTGAGCAGAATATAAGTTTGCCACAGTTGGCACAACATTATTTTGGATGCAGAAGTAAATAATTATCTTCAATCAAATTACTGTCTACGCCTCCGTTTCCTAGTAGATTCCTGTTACCCAATTTTTTCGAAGCCGCAGCTAGCGAGACTTCTAGGAAGGCGTAGAACTTAGTATTGCTGTTTTTTTTTGCAAAAAAAATCACAGAAACTTTCTAAAATGGTTTGATACTAAAATAATAGTCTGAGTTATGATTTACCGTGGCCTGAGAGTCAGTCGTTGATTCGTATTTGCCTGTCACTATCTAAATTTTAATTTTTGACTGATGACAGCGATGTTGATGTCTACGATGATTTTATATTTATCTATTTTACATTAGATTTAATACAAAATTTCTGGTTCGGTGACATTACCATCAATGGAAACGGGACCAATGACATGGTCTTCAAACATTAACCATTTCAGAATTCAGCCTTCAAAAACAAAACGCTGTCAGTTTTTATGTTTTTGTTGTAACGATTTTTGTCATTAAAGCCATTTGTGAGTGGAGAATGAAACGACCTTCCAAATGAGGTATCACAAGCCCCTACTTCCCTTTTAAAAATGTAAGGGTGGCAACTGCCACTCAAAGAGGGTTGAATTTACGGTTGAAATTTTTACGTTGCAGTTGCAGGGCTTCCTGGAGGTGGGACGTCCGATCGGTACTCGATTGATTCGCGTGACGTTCGTAGTACCTTCTAGATTCGTGGTATTGTCCACGATGAAAAACGGTAGCAATAGATGCCCAAACTCCCGTTAAAACTCCAAGTAAAAAAAACGCCTGCTGCACAGAATCCTTATTGCAGAGGCGTTTTTATATCTCAAATGTGCCCCAAAAATCCGTACTAAGCGTAATAGATGTAGATTCACGCTACACCCACTACATTAATTTTACATCTTAATAGTAATTAACCACTTAATATGCCCGTTATGGGTAAAACTTATAGATCGGCCACTACTATTACACAATTGGATAGAAATCCGGGTCGCCCGTTCACAATGTTCTCTCTTTCGGTGCGAGATTAAAAATTTAACAAAAAGTCGACTGATAACGCCTTTGCGTTTAGTGCGAATAAAACATTTTAAATTTGAATTTTTACTTTTATTTAATTTATTCGCGTACATTTTCGAATATTCGTGTCAGGACCTAAGAAATATTAGAGATGTATAAAGAGACAGAGAAAGAGAGAGAAGAAGTCAACGCTATGCAGAAGAGCAACAGAAATGCACAAAAATCAAGATAATTTCACCAGAGGTAGCCTCAGACTATTTGGAATTTGGAAACGACTTATACTTAAGAATCAACGACTGCAACGTCACAGATCAGTGACTTCAAACCAAACACCGGAACGACACGGGTCTGTACACAGAATAAATGCAAATACCGGCCAGAAGGCTTAATCTCCAATTTCAGAGTTTCTTTTGAAATAGATAATAGTCTTTCAAAACCTCAAGTCTAAACCGACAACGTGGCAACTAACTCGAAAATTGTTCAATCATTGACAACTGCCTGCAAACGTACCATAATAATTATATTAATTTTATATGCAATTATTTGCTACCTAAATGTTTATAACTAATTGTAAGGAATTGTAGAAAATAATTGATTTAAATTAATATAACAATGCAGATTGTAATGCTCCATTTGCTGCTGTATCAAACAACAGTGTATAAAATACACTTAACAAAGTTCCTAAATTGGGTACGTCTGAGAAAACTTTAGCAATAAAAATATATTCAACTCAATATTGCGGAGTAAAACTATTTACCCGAGCGTTAAGTTTGAAGTTTAAGCCTTCCTAAGGGCTTATACAGTTCGGTTAGTTAAATTTCATTTCTCTTGTTTCCTCTAAATTCGGATTTTCACAATTTTTAATTTAAAAACCATCTGGGTATGCTCCCAGGAAAATATTATCGATGAGGTTATAAGTTTCGTTTTATTTCACTATTTACTTATTTTTGTTCTAAAATAAACACTGTTTACTTCTATTTGATTGTGAGACCATAAATAATTTATTTATTGTCCTATATAAAAGTGACTAATTATTTTCTTAATTATTGATGTTATATGCGTTTATACTTACCAAATAACTTATTCCATCATCTGTTCCCACATCCCATGGGTATAAATTCAATACTTTTGATTCGATCCAAGAGCAGTTCCTAAGGCATAGTTCCAGACTCGAGACTCCCACAATCCAGTCTGGTGATGGGTCAATCATCGACACAATAGACATTAAATGATGTCGGTTGTCCACTCTGAAGACTGCGAAGGTCTTGCCTGTAATATTGGGGTAACTGATACCTCGAGCTTTGATGATGGTCCGGATATGGTCACTCTGCCAAAAACGTTTATAATGAAAGAATATTTCTTATAGACCAGTATTTTATTTATGCTATTCGTGAAATAACCATATCATTATACCATAGATGTGTATAATGTCAAAATAACAAACATAAATTACAAAAATATACCACAGTTGCTTACAAAATATTTCTTTAACGTTTTGTTTCAGACCTGTGGCAAATCTTGTATAAAATTTGCTAATTCGTTGATGTTGAAATAAAATTCGCATACGATTCGAAAGGGGATGATTTTAAATAAAAAAAAACTACTGTTGTTTCAAATTGATACACCATTTTCCAAATATGTACCTGACAATATACACGTAGTCCAGAAAATTACGAAAATTTCATTTTACGTTATACATCAAACGTCTTCCTTCATGTTAACCTATAAATATAAGTAAATATACCAAAGAGGAGGCGATATAGAACGAGAACTCACAAACACACAGATTGGAAAAATCTAACTATGATATATTTCTGTGAGAAAAGTTCATCATCACCAATATCCAACACAACAATATATGTACAACATTTTGAAACAATATTTAAGGTTACCTTCACATGTAGACTACATATTATTAGGCCACGATTTAAAAAATTTAATTGCAGGATATCGGTATAATCGAAGAACCTTTGCAGAAAACGGAAAAATATTTTTTTTAAGATTTTATCAATTGCAGTAAACATAAAACAATAGTGCATTTGAAAATTGTCGATCAAAACTTTTTAACAGCAAATTAGTGATTATGAATAAAAAATTATAATTTTACATAACTAAAGAACTAAACAATAATGCGAAGATTATAATAGCTATTTTCCATATTCCCCATTTATTTCAACACATTTTCTTAAACGTTCAATAAAATTTCATAGACAAGTGATGATTGTTGCAAAATTTGTTGACCTGCATTTTGAATCCTCTCCCAGAGTTCTTGTCTAGTACTAGGAACACCGCCTATATAAACCAGTTGCTTTATGCGTCCCGAAAAGTAAAAGTCCATAGGATTTAAATCTGGGCAGCTTGAGGGCCACGGAAATTAACTTTCTCGATCTATCTAACGTTGAAGGAACTTCTGATTGGGATAAATTTTGGCAATACTGGTATAATGAACCGGCGTACCATCATATAAATTTCTGAAAGTAGCAGCTGCAGAAAGTCTAATGTAGTTGAAGTACCTGTTCCTTTACTGTATGGTGATTTTCGTAAATCCATACATGCGAATTCTGCCAATTGAATATGCCTCTATATGTAGTTCATAATAATTAATAATAAGTTAATAAATAAGTTAATAGTAAGTTAATTCGCCCATAAATTCTATATATCCAATGAACGTGTGATCTGCATTATACGGGATGTCGCAGAATATGTGGGCAATCTCCCGGATTTATACAGAGGACGTAAAAATAACATGAAAAGTTCCTACAAAAACAGTTTTTTATCGAAAACAGTTCATTTTGTTGATAACAACTAAGAGTGCCTTCTTTTTAGTTTAAGGTTCAAGCCATCTAAAAATATTATTTTTGTGCCTTTATAATAAAGTGTGTAAAAAAATTTGACATTGATATGCTACAGCTAGTTCGTCTCTGACAAACCAAATAATCCAAATTGTGTTCATGGGTCAATTTTTAATGAGTCTTATCTGTTGTCCATCGTATTAAAAAGTAATTAAATTACGCAAAGTATTTTAAAAGTTATTAAAGAAATTGATTTTCAGAGGCGTCCTTTAAGGACCTGTATCTCTGTAGGGGGACCCCTCTAGGGAAAATTTTTATAGGGACTTGTCATATTATTTTAACGTCCCCTGTATAAATCTGAGAGATTGCCCACATATTCTGGGACACTTTGTATATTTGAAAAATTTTATTGCAGAATATTATTCTTAGGTTCAACTTTTACTAAATCATGGCCTAATAACATTATTATAATTTTTTTAATATTTTCTAAAATGTAGCATTTTCTAAAATTCAATAGGTATAACTTTTTTGTGTAAGTTAAATTTATGCTTTTGTTTATTGTTTAAAAATTAAAACAATAACGCAAAAAAAAACTTTACGCTGTTATGTTAATTATAACTCAAAATCGTCTCGTTCATTTTATTCTATGTCAGTAATATCTAAACTACATCCAATTTCAATATCGTTTTAATAAAGATGTTGCAAGAATAATAACATAGGACCACAAAAAAAATCGACGAAAGGTCTCCTCGGCCAAACCTATCGTATTATATGTTTTTTTGGGTCGCTGAAACCAAATCTGCAACTCATTTGGTCCCATCACGTCAGAGTTTTTTCTAACCACAAAATATAGCTGAAAAATTGTAGAATTCAACAAAATCAACCCTACAACCTGTTGAAACCTTATTACTCCACATCCTTATGATCACGAACGAGCTCGACAAGCCGTAAAATGATAACTCACAGGTAAAAATACATAACCACAAACCTTCATTTTTGAATAGTAAAGCCTTTTAACGTAAAACCCCGAAACCCCATAACCTGAAAACACGACAAGGCCTCAATCTGAAACCTCAAAACCCCAAAGATGAATAACCCTAAAACCCCAAAACTTCAAAACCAGGGCCGGCATTAATAACCTAACCTTGCAAACTCTAACAATCTATTGTTTCACCTAGGGTATGAGGGTGTGGAAGCTTGGTTTCATAAGTCCCGCCAAAGGCCTGTGTGATGGAAGCGTAGATCTTGCTGCGCCCAAGGTACGTTGTGCTCAGGGTATGTGGGTTTGGGATTTTGGGTTTAGAGACCCTACTGCGTAGGGTGCCCCTAGGGTATGTGGATTTGGGAGCTTAAGTTTATGAGTTTCGGCCAGTTCCTTCTTTGTTCGAAGTGTGTGCCTCGCTGGTCATGTGTGACGCTCGAAGTGATCGCCACCCTCACCCTTATTAATGCCGGCCCTGCTTTTGAAGTTTTGGGATTTTAGGGTTATTCAGTATCGGGGTTTTGAGGTTTCAGATTGATGCCTTGTCGTGTTATCAGGTTATCAGGGGTTTCGGGGTTTTAGGTTAAAAGAGTTTACTATTCAAAAATGAAAGTTTGTGCCCTCTGTGTAAGTTTATTCCCTGCTTATTTTGGGTTTTTGGGTTTTGGGCTCATCCAGTGTTGAGGTTATGTGTTTTTACGGTTGCGAGTTATCATTTTACGGCTTGTCGAGCTCGTTCGGGACCATAAGAATGTGTAGTTATAAGGTTTCAACAGGTTGTAGGGTTGATTTTGTTGAATTCTACAATTTTTCAGCTATTTTTTGAGGTTAGGAAAAAAACTCTGAGGTGATGGGACCAAATGAGTTGCAGATTCGGTTTCAGCGACCCTCAAAACATATAATACGATAGGTTTGGCCGAGGAGACCTTTTGTCGATTTTTTTTTGTAGTCCTGCGTAATAGATGTGATAAGTGTATACACGACGCAAGAATCACAACAGTAATAGTTTAATCGAGCATTTCTAAATTTCTATCGGGAGATGTTTATGATGAGTGTCTTTTATTTTCTGTTGGTTTTTTTTAGAAGTCCGAGATATTGTAAAAAATTGAAAAATATAAATCCTGGAAAAATTATACTTAATACTTCCAATTATTTTCATAATGTAAGACATAAGACTCAAAACTTTTTTCCAAAACTCCAAAGAATCAATTAGTCAATACTGTCGTATTCCAAGTCCCTACTGAAATTTCGAATTTCACTCAATTTTAGAACTCTCAGCTACGAAGTACCTTGCAGGGTATTTACGCGACGATAAAAATACTTGCCATGCTTATCATTCATATGAAACCGTAGACGCGGAACGAAAATCGAAATTTTCGATTAGGTTTCGAAAACTTCCGACGGAACTATCCATGAAGTGGTTCAGTCATTCCTAATGACCAGAGAAACAGCAGACAACGTTGACAAAGGCCAATCTTGGTGGCGGATGACGCGTGAGATGCGGGAAAATTCGATCTGAGACAGTGTATATATAATTCAAAATTAAAAGAATTATCTGCGCGAATTGATAAAGACTGTATTTCCGTGAAAGTCTTAGGCGAACACCCAAACAAACGAGAATAATGTTACAACTTGCCAATCTTCTGCAATTTGGGGGTCAACAACGATTTCTCTTCAAAAATAACCATAGGTTTTCAATCGATGATAACAACAATAAAACACCACACCACCAGGCCTGGTACTACGACACGTTCTCGTCGACTTCTACGTTTTTCGATCTTCGTTTTGCGCAGTTGCGACAAATTAATTCGTTTGGGTGGTTTATCCGCGCCAATTAAAGTTATAGCAAACGAAAAAGGACTAAAATAATAATGCTACAAGTTACAACTATTTTCCTACTAACTAAACTAATAATTTTAAAACAATATTATATATATCTAAACAGACAGGGCAACAAAAAGACCAACCACCACATCGAACTCAGATACTAGTAAAGACCAAATCGACTCCAGGAATGGAAAGTTCAGAGAGAACAAATATGCAACTAAGGCGAATATCCTCGCAGAATCACAGCGGAGGCACCACGGGGTGTGACCGAACGTTCCACTCTAGTCCTCTGTAGTCCGTTATCCAGGGTCAGTACTTAATACGCTTTCATGCATTTGACTATACTTGTATGTATGTATACATTCAAGCATTTTGAACTTATTTATTGTTAATACATATATAATACCTTTCAAACAAACTTACATTTTAACAAATTCAAAACATTCTTGAAAATTTTGCGAGCGCACTGCTCGAGGTCAAGAATATTAATCAGTGGCGGCTCGTGACATTGAGAATAGATGAAGCATATTCATTAATTCGCTAAAAAGAAAAAAAAAGCGCCGCTGGCAAAAATTTTCAAGATCAAACGGCTTTAAATGAATCTGGACATTTTTAATCGCATTTGCAATATTACCGAAAAACTGACGTTCGTCAGAAGGATTTTCATTTAGATTTTATAAAAAATAGAAATATTAGTTCGGCTTGTGGACTTCTGTGAACATTAAC